CCCCCCCCCCCAAAAAAAAAAATATAATAATCTCAGGCCTTTCAGTGAATTTGGAAGCAAGTAACATTTTCAGGTATGGTACAAAAGCCCTCAGTCTCACTGAGCATCAATACGACTCAGGCTACTTATTGACTAAGTTTTTTAGAAAACTAATTTCTTCTTTATGAGGATAACTTCAAGCCTCTTTGTTTGGACTGGAAATTCTTGCCAATACACAGGAATTAACTAAAAATCAAAATCACTAGTCAATGACTGGATCAACCGCAGCAGCACAGGATGATTTCAGAGACAATTTACATACACTAAGATAATCTTGAAGACAATTCAGTAATAAAGCTGGCAAGTGAATGTTCAATGACCTGCCAACACCTCTTTCATACACCTAAAGGGAATCAGAAGAAACAAAAAAGGCTGCTTTTGCTGAAAGCAAAAATAAAGATGCAATGCTGTCAAGCACTAAAGGAAGCTTGCATGATACTGCAAATTATCAAGCATGCAAATGAACCAAAGATGCTCTCCTTTTGTTGCATCACAAGCAGAAGGAGGCAGCAGTCTCTACTCTGCACAGAGGCAGAAACCAGTGCCAGTATAACTTTAAAAATGTTTAGCTTCTTCAGGAAGCAGCATGATTTTTCTGTTGCTACCTACACATAAGGCTCACTGAGAGAAGAAAACCCTCACTTAGGAAACTGTTCTGTCTTTCTCACTTTCAGGTATGGACCAAACTTGCATCTGCAACTGCTGAGAGAATTATAGTCTACTGGCTTATAAAAAGAGCGGGTGGCTCATCAGAGAACCAGATGATTGACTTAAGCCTGCTCTAATCTGATCTACAATTCTTACTAAATAGATCACGGAAGGAAAGTTCATTTTCTGACTCAGTTTTCACACCTTCCCTGTAATTTCTGCATGTAAGTATCAGGTAGTACCAAGGCAAAGAAATTCTGAACATTGTTCTTTTAATATACTTTTAACATATTTCACCTTGTGTCTCAAAAATGGAAGTTTGGCAAATCAGTATTATCATTTTCTACCCAAACTCAGGGTGTAATTTCTCCCCTTAGTGATGCTGTTTTTTACATACCATAATCATTTAAGACTCGAAATGGTTTAATTCAACAGAAATTAACTTACACAGAGCATACCATAACACTGGCATGTTAAAAGAACACTGTTGCAGTGAAAAACTTGTTTCAAGTCCTGTAAAAAACTGAATTATTACGTAATGCTTTAAGAGGTTGTATTTCATTTTTATTCTGTTATACGTGGATCTGGCTACAAGAGATGCCGAAGAGAAGACAGGTAATGGAAAAGGAGATGCTGAGACTTTGATCATCTAGTAAAAAAATCACAATCATCTCAGGTGAGAGTCTGACCACAGCTGTCATGCAGGAAGCACAAAGAAAGATGACTTGATCATATGAGATAGGTGCCTTTACAAAAAAAGAGATTAATAGCAGGATTCACATCTAAATGTGATAGAGAAGGAATCATATGCAACCTCTCATTGACCATCAGCTAAGCAGAAACAGTCCAGGCAGTTCAGAACTCAATTTCCAGCCACTGATATTACACTTACTAAGATCCTTGAGGGAAGGATGAGAAAAGGAAGGAAGAGTGGGGGAAAGGGTGAGAGGGAAAGCATCCCTTAAAACAAAGTAACAATGATTCTGCTTTCCAACCAGGGATTTTACTGTTGCTTATTTGCATCTGTCAAGCACAGGCTTTTGTATTTATTTTTTCCCTCCTCCCCAGCTGAGAAGCTTATGTCATTAAAAAGTGAGAACATAAGCACAAAAATAATCCTTCATTGAACATGTTCTATGAAAAAGAGAAATCTTTTCTCATCCTCCTTGGATATACGTGCAGCCAGCCTGGACACAGTGGTTTGAGGACTAACGACAGTGAACACTGGCCAACCAGGCTGAGATTAAATAAATCCATTCCTCAGCCTCCATTATTCATCCCCTACACACTTCCCTCAGCAGGGACACGTGCTGAGGGGCACATAAAGCTCTGTAGGCATGTGAAAAGAGATCACAGCTGCTGATCGCACAGCGAATACTCAACTAACCAGGTATTCCCATGAAAAATTGTTTGGTATTGGGATGCTTAAAAATTAGACCAAGATGTGAATGGATGGGGAAGATAACATGTAAGAATGAAGTCTGGAAGCAGAAAAAATAGCAAAAAGAAGACTGAACTGTAAATATTTCTTTTCAGAGAAGCCCCAGAATGGTTTTAAGGGTTTATGGAAAACACAATTGACATAAAAAAAAAGAAGAAAACATTGTTTAAATTGATTGAAGAAGTCTCTTCTAGAACCTTCTTGGAATTCATCAGAAAAAGTGGAAAATTGAATAATTCTGAATCAAAGATTGAGAGAGATTAATCAAGCCCAGTGAATTCAAAGAAGCAGAAGAGCAACATTTCTGAGCTCTGCTGCAATATTTCCACTCAAAAATAGGAGAGCACCACTGGAACCCGAAATCCACACAAGGGGAAAAAAACAGGAAATGGACTGTGAAAAGTAGGAGGAGTTTGGGATTTCAGGATATGATGCTCAGTACTTGACAGGGAAGAAATGAGAGATTATAAGGAAAAGGAAGATCCTATATCTACAAGTACTTACAGTTTGATGGAGGGAGAGAAAGACTAAGCAGGCCCTAAAAAGACAAAGATGGGGAAGGGTCTCAGTTTGCTAACGGCAAGTTAGCTGCACCAGAACTTCGAAAACACTCCTTAAACTATATCCCAAAGAGGGGATAAAGATGAAGACAGGAAAAAAGTGTCTGTGTTATCCTAAAGATTAAAATACATTAACTCTGTGCAGACTGGGATTTGCAGTACTAGTAGAGAATTTCTTTTTATTGGTCTAATTTTTTCCTCTACCTCCCTCTTGTCCTTCTTCTTTACTTCTTTCCTTCTTCCTTCTGAGATACATTAAAGGGAAAAAATGGAGACATAAGATTAGAAACAAAAGTACCTAAAGCAAGGTCTAAGAAAGGATTTACCATTCCTAGCAAGAGGTAAAGATGAGAAAGAAAAAAAAAAAAAAGGCAAAGTCTGGCTATGCATTTTTACCCCCTGTGATTCGTAACTTTATGCCGTCCAGCTTCCTGATAGTTGGAGCCAGTATGTTTGCTGTATGGAATTTTGTCTTGTAGGATGGGAGAACAGTGAATATGAAACTGACAACCCTTAAGAAGTTCCAATTTTACCTTAAACAGAAATATAAAAAATATCAAAAATACCTCAAAGTTTGCATTCTACATATGATCCCTAGCTATAGGGAACAACGTGACATTGACAGATGAGACACACTAAGATAACATAAATTAGCAAAATTCGATTGGCAATTGTATGAAAATCACGTTGTCTTAAAATGCCTTTCAGAATGAACACTGGGAATTATGGTAGGTCCAAATAAACTTTGATTACATCAATAGCAATTTTATGGCTCCTTTAATATTCCAATTAAAAAGTTTTTTCGTTTCCTCCAAAGAACACAAAATTAGACTTGACTTTGCTCCAATTCTGAGAGACACCAACCCTCTGAATCTCATGCATCTTTAACAGACTGTAAAAGACTGGTGTTGCAACATTCTAAATCCACATCTGTCTTAATTAAGCAATTTGATTACTAATTTCTTGGTAAACCTGTAACTTTGTCAGCTGATTTTGTGGTTAGAACCAATTCCCTATATAGCAATGTATGTGAACAAAGGCAGAAAAGCAAAATATTGTAATATGTAAGGAAATGGAACTTACTTCCGAAGTTTGCCTTCAACCATCCATTTATCTCTCCTTAAGTTTGACATATAATCAATGTTTTTATCAATTTCACTGTCAAAGATGAAAATAATCCATTAGCTGTGAACTTATGTATCTTTTTTCTGACAGACATTTACATATAGACACTCTTCCCTCAAGTAACTGTCTTGGAGAAATCGTTAAAATTCAAAATACATCATTTTAAAGCTAGGAAATCACAATACTAGGGATGCCAATGTAGCACCAGATGTACTTATGTCAGTCTTTATCCCCAGTATCACCTCAGGTTTCCTTCCACAAGAAGCATGGCATTCAACATTTTTCACAGTTCTAGTTCAGTACCAAGCCTCCAAATGCCTTTGCCACAAATCACATAGCCCTGTACTGAAAAAATAATTACCACTAGTACATCTGAGGTATTCTGCCTAGGATCCCTGGGATCTACAATCCAACATTCACTTTTCACTGCAGAAACTGTAAGAACCAAAAGAAGGGCTTCAGTGCAGTCACTGTCTGCACACCCACTTTTTAGACATCCTGGCGTCAACAATTCAGTGGATTATTGTTGTTTCTATGCTCAAAATATAGAAACTCAAATTCTGAGTGAACATTTTTACAAATAAGACCTAACAGTCATCTGCAACAAGAGGAAATTTCTTTCTATGATGAATCTGACTGATACACATGAACCTTCTTGCACAGCTGAGGCACAGCACTTGCACTCCCCACTTCTGCTGTTTTTCAGCTTCGGTAAACCTGAAGCATCTCTTCCATTCCTGCCTTACATACCCCTGATTAACTTTTGCAGCACAGTGTACCCAACCCAGGAAAATACACCAGGAAACAAAGCAGCACTCAATTAGGTGATGAAATACTTGATGACAGAAAGTCAGTCTGTGGAAGAACAGGCATCCCAGAAACTGGGAATTCTTAACTTTTTATTGCACATTGGTAGGTTTTGACAAGTTGTTGAACACAGAGGGGATTTAAAATTATGAAATGCTATAATGACCACAAATGCAACATACACCTTCGTGAATTACTGTGATGATACACCTCACCTTGTGACCCTACTTAAAGTATCTGGACAACAAACATCTTCAAAAAACAAAAGGAAAAAAAGGGAAAACAGTGTACTGCAAAAGCCTTGTACAACTCTTCTAAATTATTCCCTAGGATACCTACCACATTTCTTCGTAATCAATTTCATCTTTTATTCCAAAAATTGCTAGAGAAATTTTGGTTCAAGCTTTGAAAACAAAACTACAGACCAAACATAGAAAAGTTCCATCATATCAACAGTACATAAAGGTAAGAAGCAGTAACTCAAAACAATTTCAGTTTTCATTGTAAGAAAAACATAAGTAGTCCTCCTGTAACAGAATACAATGAATACACAGTATTTCTGAGCTACAGCATTTTCATAATTTTATTTTTACACACCTGTTTGGGACAAATCTTACCTTACTACACTTTTGCTGCATGCTAACTCATTGACCAGAAAAGCAAGTACTGATGCTTTCTGAGCTGGAGAATGTGCCTGAAAAGCTTTTGTCTTCAAGCTCTCTGTCAACTCTGTTTGCCCACAATGAGCCTCCATGAAAATCTGCAGAATCTCAGACACATTATCTCGATTGATACCAACGTTCAGCAAGTGTTCCCCAAGAATAGTTTTAGCCTAAAAAGAACAAACACATTTCAAAGAGTTACGTTTATAAAACACTGTTTTCCTTTATAGGCTATATTACTGTTTATAGAAGATGGTATGGGTTTGTTTGCATTTTTACATAAGGACTTCAAGCATGATTAGCTCTTCGAAACTATTCAAATGTAAATCTTAAATACAGTAACAAATTAGAATGTCTTCACCCCTACATTTTTAAAATCTTATTAGAGATAATATTAGTAATAATTAAATGGATTACATGTAAAAAGGCATGGTCCAACTGAAAATTGACGAATACTTCTCTGTACAATGATGCTATGAAGAGCTCTAGAGTGGACAAAAATTGTTTTGGCTTGAAAAAGAAGGCCAGTAAGAGTCACGAATGAATTGGGGTTTTGATGAAGTGACTTAGACAGCTGACCTTAAGGAAAGAAATAGCAAGATTAACTAAGAATATAACATGAGGGTAAGAATGCAAAGGAATGGACAGAAAGGAATTAAAAGACATGGCCACAGATGTGACAGTGCCCTACAAAAGGTCCAAGTAAAAATGGGACGCGTGTTCGTGCGTAGAGAAAATGCACAGAAATATATCACGTCTGGAAAATGGGAGGGCTGATGGGACACAAAGTTTTGGAGTAATATTAGAACCATGACACTGAAGAAAAAAATTAGGAAAGAGAATGGAAATCCATGAGAGAGGTGTCAGAGACACATTATGAAGAATGCATTCATATATACAGGATGTTTACTATGGGTTTTTTCTTTTTACCTTGTATCCTGTACCAAGTCCAGGATCGCACACAGCCGCAGAGACCAGTTTCACAAGCAAGTCCTGTACTTCTCCCATGCTGTCCCCTATGTTGAGCAAACCCTCTTGAAGAACACTCAGGGAGGGAACATCTATGGTCACATCAAAGCCAAGAACTTTACCAAAGTTACGCAGGAACTGCACTACCATAAGACAATCTGAAAATGTGCTTCCATCAAGAACGAGGCCTGGGATGCGAGGCAGCTCTGGGAAAGGCTGGCAAGTAAAGAAAAAAAGTTAAAGAAAAAAAGTTAAAGATTTAGTAGCGCATTTCAAAAAAAATTTTTTTTTGATAACTGGGAAATTTATAGCTGGGAAAATTGACTGACACTTCCTTCTGACCTACAGCATAACCAAGCTGGAAGGGTATACGCAATAGGCAATCTGCACCCTTCATCCATTCAATGCTCAAACATATTTTAACTTTTCAAAATTACAGGAACCAAGAGATTAAGAAATACCAGGAGACACTATAAGGATCTATTCTGAGCCAAATTACTGTAAAAGATGGTGTAAAATTATTTAGGGGGGAAAAAGGGAAGCGATTTCTCTGGAACAGAGACTTTGAACCTAAGCTTTGTCAAGTCCTTAGAGACAAGAACTTGGAAGACTGGGAAAGTAATTTTTTTGAGCAACAGCTTGTAAGAGTTGTCTAGATGACTATCTTAGTGCCTGTGTACTGAGACATGATGCATATTTCTGATATAAAAAAAACCTGAGCAAAGAATTTTTTTTAAGCAATCATGCTTTTTGGGAAGCAGACCTCCTTTAAACAAAAAGCTTTTAATTAACTAAACATATGCTACTGTGCAGTGTTCCAGTATCTTGTATTTGTATATATTTCAAATAGTTCTATAATTACCTCAATTAAAACTCGAATGCTTTGAGTGTGGTTGCAAGAAAAAGTTATTGACAGAATTATAAAATACACAAACAAGTAGCAAGAAAGTATGTCTATGTCGCTGCCATTACCTTCTGGTCTGCTAAGCACATATCCTCATTAGGTTTCTTTAGCTCCTTTGCCATTTCTAATTCCAATCTTCGCTGTTCCAGTTTACGCTCTTTATTTAATCTTTTTTCATCACGTTTCTCTTGCTTTAGCCTCTCTTTTTCCTGAAGAGAATTGAAAGGGAAAAAAATAAACCCCAGATATTAAACTTACAAAGGAACAATCTAAGAATTTGGAAAGCACCACTTCTGCAACCTCAAAAATCACCACACCAATTAAGGAACCTGCATTAAAGTAAAGGGGAGGGGAAAACTAGAACAAAATCACTGAATTTGTAAAGCACTGTAAGATTCACGTTTTTCTCTCCTGTCCACGCAGACACAGGTTTCACGTATCTTTGCAAAGAAAAGCTCTTTGAAATACTGTTTAAGAAAGACGACTGAGTGATGACAAAGAATTGCCACGCAAGACATCTGATTTTCAAGTCTGCTTACACCCCAGTATCATTAATCTGCACCTGCTACAGCAGAGACCACTCAAGAAACCTCTCTGAACAATACATGGTTTTAGAAGTCCCGTAATACATAAAGTAGATATGAATACCTTATAAAACATAACCGATCTTCTCAAACACGGGTAGCTTCCGGCCTAGAATGACACATTGCATGCAACCTGAAACTGAACAGCCCATCATGCACAACATATGCACAACAAGAACATGCGGATGTAAGAAGCCAAGCATCCATTATTTGTCTCTTCAACACCCTCCACAGTGGAGTCACACCAATACTACACCAACTCTGTAACACACCAAGACTAACTCTGAACCTGGAGCTCTCCTGGCCTTTCCCATCCCCGGTGCCAGGGGTTCTGCTGCCACATGTTCATCACCAATCCCCTGTTCTCAAGACACAAGTCCCCACACATCTCTGTGCAACCGAGATCGAGTGTAAAATGTATGGAATCTGCCACAGATCAACACCACCTGTTCAGAGCACAGAACTGTGCATATAAACACACACGTATGTGTGTGTGCCACCACTCAAGGACCTGATACAATACAAAGCTGAAGATACTGTATGTGCTTTTCACCTGTGGACACAGAAGGGCTAAAGAACCAAGCCAAGATGCTTCCCATTACTCAGAACCACTCCCTACTATGCTGTTAGTTTAAGAGGTCACTCTAATCTCTTCCATTTACTACCACCATATTTTGCAACAATAAGAGAGTATGTGCAATAGTAAGTCAGGGTTCAGCTGCATTTGTAGATCACTATTAACCACTGATTTCTTTGTAGAGCTGTGACAGGCCCCATGATTTTTTACTCTTCCTTTTGATTCTATAAGGATTATTACCAGACCACTAGTCACATCTATGAATAACCACTGTGGGTGCACAGACATCATGACTTCTACTACTACTACTGTCTTTAGTGGATTTTATGCAAGTTTCACATTAGATA